TTTACACCATGCAGGGTTAACCTTACAGTAGTGCTCAACACTGTCAGACTTTCAAAATCCTTCCTCACTTGAATTAAGATGATCAGATTTGAACACATCCACCATAAAAGCAGACTTTAGTACCGTTCCGTCCGCGTTAGGCTATAGGAATTCCGTTTTTTATGACTGGATTCTACGAACCATCCGCATCTGGATGTCACCCCCACATAATGTTTTCCGCATCGCGGAAATTATAGGGCCGCATGTCTCAAGAGTAGTCCGTGCAAGTTGGGAAAGAAATCAATTAAATCTGTATGTGCATGTGTGTAAATATTCAAATGTAACCCCCTTTGTAATCGTTAACGTTTTCATAAGTAACTGTAATTTAATTACACATTTTTTATTAGTAACTGTAACTGATTACAGTTACATTTATTTTGTAATTAAATTACGTAACGCCGTTACATGTAACTAGTTACTCCCCAACACTGGTGACATGCTATCAGTAAGTAATATATGGACATTACTTTACAAATAGTTAAAAGGGATTCAGATTCAAGTTTAGGTACTTCTAAATTCTTCTTTGTTCTGCAGGACACCAAGTTTGGTCAGTCTCAAGGGCACCTCTACCAAGTCACCCTTCCCCGTTCAATGTGGCTCCTATATAAGAATATATATATAGTTGTATATACAGTATATATATAATATATACAGTATATATATATATATATATATATCTCCAATGTATAATTGCTCTTTTGTTGATTTTGATTGCTTCCATTGTCCTCATTTGTAAGTCGCTTTGGATAAAAGCATCTGCTCAATGTCTAAATGTAAATGTAATATAAGCAGTGCTTTTTGAAACTCTGTTGGCAATTAAAACACTTAAGCCAAATCCATATTTCCAATATTTTTCATATACTGACAGCAATGATGAATTACTTGTAAACTCTATGAAGGGGATGGGCATTTCTGATAATCTGTTCAGTAAATAAAGCGCAATACAAAACTGAGTGGTCAATAAGAGACATGGAAACAATGTTTATTAAACTATTGCTTTATTCATATCTTTTTAGTTATAAACATTTAGAAGATGCACTACATGAAACGATGTAAACCTTAAAATGGAAATGCCAACAGGACTTCCTATGTTAATGTGATTATTAGTACATTGATTTGAAAACTAAACGGCTGTAATTACAAACCTGAGGTCTATTTCCAGTGTTATAGAAGCACATTAAAATTACAACAAATCTGTGATGTAATCACATTATTTAGGAAAGAAATGACAAATTTAACATCTGTACACAAAAAAAAAAATACTAAAGCTTGCCAAAATTAGAGAAAAGTATAAAAACCAAAGCTTATTGAATGTGTTTATAACTAGATACATAAATCAAATTTTAAAAAGTTGTTTATTTGTGTAGTAATATTTGCTTATCAGATTTACTTCCAAGTCCTAATTTTCAATCTCAGGGTGAGACAGTAGACAGTAGAAGTTCATTCATATAGGAGAACCAACATATTACTCTGTTAACCATGTGAGTAATTGTGGAGTGTAGTAGGTGATAATGATGTCAGCTCCTGAAAGAAAGAAAATAGTGTGAAAATACTTAAGAGTATTTAGTATTACCTGTAAACCATCCATTTTTGAGGCATTAAAATAGATATTAAAAAGTAAAAGACACCAAGGTCCTGCCCAAAAAGCACTGCAATTGTTATATTTATGCAATTTAGGAGAACCTGGCCTCAACAGATTCAAAAAATTTACTTTATCCCTGTCGCTCTTCTCACCTGCTCGACGGAAAGCAGTCATAGCCTCCATAACTGCAGTGCGCAGGTCAAAAGCTCCAGCTTCAGCTCCATGCCACAACATGGCAAACTCGCCTGATACATTATACACTGCCAACGGATGAGTAGGGTGCTGATGGGAGACAGAGAACACAAGGGTATTAAGACAAGCAAAAAACATTAGACCCAATTTATAAATGACATTGTTTAGTTTTTGCCGCAAACTGTCTGGAGTGCTTTGAGACACTTTGCTTTTAGAAGGCCACTGTCCAGATGAATTCAGTTCCAACAAACCTTCCTGGCATGTTAAAGCAAACTTAAAGCAACAGTGCACCCAAAAATGCTGAAAATTTACTCCCCTCAGGCCATTAAAGATTTAGAAAAGTTTGTTTCTTCATCAGAAAAGACTTTGAGAAAGGGGAATCCAAATAGATGATAAAAACATCACAATAATCCATAAGAAATCGTCACGACTCAATGTCTTGTAAAGTGAAAAGCTGCATGCTTGTGACAAACAAATTAATCATTAAGGCGTATTAACTGTAAAATGTCACTTCTGGCCAAAATACCAGGGCATAATCCGTAATAACACTTCCTCAAGTAAAAATGGCATCCCCTTTTTGCCTTTCACATCAAAATGCACATATTTGTTTAGAACTGTATTTCCTTATAAAGTGTGCTTGATCTGTGCACATTTCTATCCTGATTCAGATGAGATGACTTGCAGATAGCAATATTATGGATAATATCAGCTGTTCGTCATTCTGACAGCACCTATTCACTATAGAGGATCCTATGGTGAGTAAGTGATATAATGCTAAATTTCTCAAAATCTATTATGATTAAGAAACAAACTCATCTACATATTGGATGGCCTGAAGGTGAGTAAATTTCCCACAAATATTTATTTTTGAGTGAACTACTCCTTTAAAGATCTTGCTGAGCTGGTTCATGTGCATTTAATTTGAAGCTGAACCTGCAGGAAAGTCCGCAGAAAAAGAAAATAAATAAAACAGTAAACAGCCAACGGGCATAACTTAGAATGGGAGATGGATCAGTTTGTGAAAGGGAAGAGAAAAGCCATATATAAAGTCGCACAGACCCAGGCAGGTGCTGGTTATTCAAAGGCTAAATAT